CGCTGCCTACCTCTGTTTCAAGCAATTCTTTCTGTAGTTAGAGCTATAGATTTACAGTGAGGCTGTCAGTGGAATCCAAGCCATCTGGTTCCGAGTTCATGCCTTAAATTCCTCATCTCGACTGCTGTCTCCGCTGAGACCTGAAGAGTAAGTTTGAACTTGTCACCAGAGTGTAGGTATCTGGGGGTGGGGGTGGGATGGACACGTGTGAAGGTGCCCGGGAGGTGCCATGAAGAGGGAAGTTGAAGTTATTCCACCTGCAACAGGTGCAGCTAAAGCTCCAACAACCCTTAGGAAGCGCACCACCAAGAACTGACGCTCGTTTCCCTAATGCTGAGGAAAGTGGGTCAGGGGAGGAGGGCTGCCTGGGGTAGTGAGGAGGTTCCAGAAAATTCCTCTCAAAAGTAAAGTCTTCACCGACAACTCCAGACGCTGGCAGGGATGTAGAGCCACAGGAACCCTCACTTACTGCTGGTGGGGGTGCATAATGGTACAGGCACTTTGAAAGACAGTTTGGTGGTTTCTTACAACATACTCCTACCATATGACCAACAGTCACACAAAAACTTATGTCCACACAAAAATCTGCATGCAGGTGTTTATAGCTGCTTTATTGGAAGCAACCCAGATGTCCTTCAGTAGGTGAGTGATAAATAAACTGAGGTATGTCCAGACAGAATATTATTCAGCACTACAAAGAAATGAGCTCTCGAGCCAGGAAAAGACATGGAGGGACTTTAAATGCATATTACTAAGTAGAAGCAAATCCAAAAGGGTTACATACCATATGATTCCAATTATATCACATTCTGGAAAGGGTAAAACTATGGAGACATTAAAAAGTGGTTATAGTGTGATCGTAGGGTCAGGGTAGTGTTGGTGAATAGATGAAACACAGAGGGTTTTTAGGGCAGTGAGTGAAACTACTCTGTCTGATACTGTCATGGTGGATACATGTCATTACACATTTGTCTAAACCCATAGAATGTACAACACCAAGAGTCAGCCCTAATGAAACCATGGCCTCTGGGTGATAATGATGTGCCCATGTAGGTTCATCAGTAGTAATGAATGTGCCCCTGTAGTGGGGGGTGTTGACCCTGAGTAAGCTGTGCATGAGTGGGAGGAAAGGGCATATGAAAAATCTCTGTATCTTCCTCTCAATTTTGCTGTGAATCTAAAACTGTTCTAAAAAAATAAAGTCTATGGAAAAAAAGTAAGTCTTACCCAACTTTCTAACAATTATGTTTTGATTAAGCCTTTTTTTCGAAAATGGAAATATGCCCTTGAAGGAGTTAGATCTGTGCTTGGACTTACACCCTGTTATGAGTATTTTTTTTAAAAAAATAAGAAAATCAAATTGCTGCCCTGTCAGCTTAGCTCAGTGGTCGAGCATCGACCTAGAAACCAAAAGGTTACGGTTTGATTGGCCAGGTTGCAGGCTCGATTCCCAGTAGGGGGCATGCAGGAGGCAGCCGATCAATGATTCTCTCTCATCATTAATGTTTCTATTTCCCTCTCCCTCTCCCTTCCTCTCTGAAATCAATAAAAATATATAGGAAGGAAGGAAGGAAGGAAGGAAGGAAGGAAGGAAGGAAGGAGAAGGAAGGAAAGAGGAAGGAAAGGAAGGGAGGGAGGAGGGAGGGAGGGAGAGAGAGAGAGAGAGAGAGAGAGAGAGAGAGAGAGAGAGAAAGAAAGAAAGGAAGGAGAAGAAAGAAGAAATAAATACGAAAGAAAAGAAAGAAAGAAAGAAAGAAAGAAAGAAAGTCAAATTGCTTTTCTCCTACCCTGACTCTAGCCAGGCTGGGAGGCTGCTCCAGAGATAGGCCTGGGACAGACACCCGGAAACAAAGATGACAACACTCTTTTGGAATGAGGCCACAGCATCTGCCACAAGACATTACTGGCCTCTGCTTGACCACATATTCCCTTGGCTACCCCAGGAGCATTCTCTTTTATGTATTCAAAGGGCTTCGCAAGCCAGGCTGTGGCAAGCAGTTCTGACTATTGAAGCACTAGCGTCACTCCTGGGATGTGTTAGCAGCATTCGTGAGTGCGATGAAGGGTAGGCCTGTCTCAAGGAACTGGAGACACAACCAAATCAATGTATCCTCGTCTTCGTATTTCAGATTTCCCCCATTTGGATCGAAATGGTGATCTTTGGGCCTGCTCTGCCTCTTGCTGAGTCTGGCAGTCTGAATATCAAATCCAGATGAAGCTAAAGCAGCCAGAGCTCTGGGTCAGTGGTCCAAAAAGCTCGAGGGGAGCTGGCAACATACCTCTCGCGTCTGCCGTGCCAGCTCATGAAGGAGAGCTCAGGCTGTGCGTGTCACCTCATTTCTACCCGCTGCTCTGCTTGTGGGAGATGTGATGTTATTTACTCCTCAGTGAGGCGAGGCGTGACCACGAGGTCTTGTGATTCACAGAGCCTCTCACGGAGCTAGGCAGGTGGCAAGTGGAGAGCTGGGGCAAGCAAAGATGTCAGGAGGGTGAGGGCTCCGCAGGCTGCCAACACTCCCCTCCCCACACACACCAGGAAACCTCCCCACCAGGAAACCAGCCAGGGCCCCTTTCCCCAGCAGGGAACGGGTGGTGGTGAGTGAGTCCAGAGCTCGCTCCCTGCTGTGGTGATCTGCATTCCTACCTGCATTTCGTTTTTAATCCATCCCACTCCTTCCCCACTGGGGCCTGGTCTTCAGCCAGCCACATGACATGGTACTCTCTCCCGCCTCCCCCATACGGCTTGTCTGGGTCCCTCCCCTCCCTTGCTGTACCTGTGTTTCAGAATGAGAGAGAGAGAGAGAGAGAGAGAGAGAGAGAGAGAGAGAGAGAGAGAGAGAGAGAGAGAGAGAGCTGGAGAAGCTGAGGAGACCGAGGCTCCAGCACATGCCGAAGCAGGAGAAGGAAGAACCTCAGCCACTCCGTAGGCCCCTGGAGGGCCTAAGATTGATGTTGGAGAGGCAGGCAGGAGCTGAATCATGCAGGGATCTGCTAATGAATTGGGACCTTGCCGGAGGACAGTGCAGGGCTATGGAAACAGTTCAAGCTGGAACCTGCCATGAACACTTCGGCACTAAATTAGCCACATTTTTCATAGCATTAGCCAATGATAATCAACTTGGCCGTCATGACCCTGAGGCCCTGCAGGAAGCTAAAGCAAAGCCTAAGAAAGGCTCTGTTCAGTGCTCCATACTTCCAGGGCCAAGTCCACTGTATTGTACTTTAATTCTTTGGGAAGTGATAAATTCTTCGCGGGAAGGACCCTTGTCTTTTTTCTCTTATTTCTGAAAATGCCTGGAACAATGCATGGGCACACCAGATCGATTTGTCCAACAAATATCAAGTGATGAATTCATATAATCTGTGCAATTATACAGTCCTAAATTCTAGTTATTTAAGGCAATGAGTGAACTTTCTGGTGGAAAGTAGAAACGAGGATGGGGACACGGACTTTACAATAGCAAGATGTTAAAGGACGAGTGTGCTTGGGGTCTTTGTTGGAAGTTAGACTTCTATGCCATGGAAGGCTGTTCGTTTCCATCACCAGCCCAACGAGAAAGCTGTTCCCTTCAGGCCACAAAATGGCCGAGGCTTATGGCTGACTTCTGGTAACACAATGTGAAATCAGCCGTCGAACTAGAACCCCTTTCATTTGCAGGGAGGGAGGAAGCGGGGTGTGAGGAACCCAGAGAATCACACGGAGGAACGTGGTCTGGGGGGGGCGGGGGGGACTAGGGAACGTGGATCCTCCAAGACAGCACTATCTTGACAAACAGTCTGGAACCCAGGCTCACTCGTTCATTTCCTCAACAGCTATGTGTTGAGCCCCTCCTGTATCTGGGATGCCAAGTACAACAGTGACCAAAGCAGGCACCCCCTTATCCTGTACCTCATGAAGATCCCCCCTGAAGCACAAGAAGCAGGCTTGAAAACACCTTCCGAGCACATAATAACAACCGCGGGAGCTGCTGTGAATGAAAACAGCAGAGCCTCCTGCTGTGAGAGAGAAGACAGCCCTGCCTTCGCTGGCTGGGGGCCCAGGCAGGTCTTCCTGAGGAAGAGTCAGAGAAGGATGAGTAGGAAAACGCCAGGACTAGACTGATGGGGAGGGGTCCTGGGGGAGAGGGGAGCTCCATGCCCGGGCTCAGGTGGAAAAAGCCGGGTGAGCATGAGGAAGAGAAAGGGTGGAAGTGCCCGTGAAGGGGTGCACACTGTGGAGGGGCTGAGGCGAGAGGCCTAGAGGCCAATGTCAACAGCAGGAAAAGGTGAGAAAGGATGAGGGCCTTCCACGTGGTCCACAGCCTCTCTTCCAACTCAGCACAGGCAAAGGCACCAGCAGCCTCCGCCACATGTCGGAGGCTGGGATTGGCAGGAGGCTGGAGAGGAAGGACAGAGAAAAGTGGAACGAGAAAGCCCGGGCCAAGCTGACTTGGCGTGGACTGCCACCTCCCAGTGTGGCCTTGCGCAACTCAACTTCTACTCCATCGATTGAAGATGAGAATACGCACCCTAAAGGGTTGTAAAAAGGAGTGTATGGGGGCGGGCGAAATGGGTGGAGGGGGTCAAAAGGTACAAAGTTCCAATTACAAAATAAATGTCCTGGGATGTCATGTACAGCATAGTGACAATACTTAATAATACTGTATTCATTATTTGAAAGTTGCCAATGAGTAGATATTAAAAGTCCTCATCCCAAGGGGGAAAAATTGAGGGGGGAGGGTGGTGGTAAATAAGTGCCTATGTATATGATGGATGTTAGCTAGCTTTCTTGTGGTGATCATTTTGCAATGTATACAAATATGGAACCATGATGTTGTACACCTAAAGCTAATACACTATTACATGTCAATTAAATCTCAAGTTTTTAAAAGAGGGATTGCAGGTAACTGAAGTCAATGCCACGCTCAAGGGGAGTCAGTGAATGGCTGTTGCGTTCCTGACGGGAGGAGGGAGTTATCTGAAAGGCACCAGGAGGCAGTGTCAGGACAGTTCTGGGGAGTGTGGTGGGAGTTTCGGGCAAGAGCCGTCCGGGCCTGACCGCTGAGTGTGGGCACCGATGCCACCGCCAGAGGAAGGGGCAGCAAAGTGGGAACCGGGGTGCCGGCGATGAGTGACTTGGGGGAGTAAGTGAGAAGCGGCGAGCGGAGGGGGCGGAGCAAGAGGAGGAAGGAGAAGGCTGGAGGGGAGATCCGAGGAGAGAAGTGAGGGCCCGCAGGGGAAGAGAGGTGAGGGGCCCTGGGGCCGCCGGGGAGAGAGGCGAGGGGCGGGGGGGGAGGGGGGCGCCCGGGAGGCGGGCAGCGGTCCCGGCTGCAGCCGCAGCGGCGGGGAGCGGCGAGCTGCGCGCTGCGGGCGCGGGAGCCGCGCGGCCTGGGAGGTGATCTTCACCTTGCAGGTGAGCCCGCCGCGGGGAGCCGGGGAGAGGGCCGGGCGGAGGCGGCCTTCTCGGGCGCTTCATTCCGGGGGTCCCGAGGAACCCGGGGACTCCGCAGGCCGCTCTGGCCGCGCGGGTCGGCAGAGGCCGCCTAGAAACTCCCCTGCCAACTCCTCCTCTTTGCTCGGCTGCGACCTAGGCAAGGTTGCGGGGGCTTGGGTTCTGCAGGCAGCCTCTGGCTGGGGGTGGCAGCGGATTGGGGTAGATCGATTCTGGGATTAACCCCCCCTCTCCCCCCACCCCCACCACCACCTGAGAGTGCGGTGACCCCTCTAAGGACCGTCCCTCCGACCACTCGCACCGCCCCCCTCCTGCTGCCAACCTCCCCCCACTGCCCACCTGTCAGCATCCTCCCCCTTTGTCTCTCCCCCCCCCCCCGCCCCCACACACACACACACATTGAAGAAGCAGAAAGACCCCAAACCAGACCAGGGCCTGGTGGTGGGAGCTGACCCGGAAGGCAGGACCCTGGAAGGTTTGCTTAGCTGTGCGCTGATGATTAACTGGGTGCAGGGGACCTGTCCACTACAGCTGTGTATCTTTGCTTCTTGATTTAAGGCAATGGCCAAATCCTGACTGAGATAGATATTCCCATTTGACCTTTGGTGCAAAGACTCCCTGGAAATCTTCAGGAAACAAGGTGCCCAGGTCCCCTCTCACCGTTGCCCTTTACTGCTCACTCACTCACTGCGTGCTGGGTGCTGGGTGCTAGGTGCTGGGCTGGGGCTTATGGACCTCATCCCTCCTCCTTATCCCTCCTCCTTGCAACAGCCCCTCAAGGTTGCTTGTCCATGATCCCTACGGTAACAGGCGACAAAGCTGAGGCACAGGCTCCTCAAGTCATTTACCCCAAAGCACAGGGTTAGCAAAGTATAGAGGCAGGACCTGAATCCAGGTATTTCTGATTCCAGGAATGTCCACTGTAGGGCATCCTGCTATCTTTACAAGGACATCAGGTACCTACGTGAAACGTGGTACCAGTGAGGGCCCCCTTGGCTCATACGCCGGGCAGGTTAGTAGGAAGCAGAATTGTATGAGAAGATGTTCGTTTTGCAGGGAAATCAGTGGTCGTCATGGCGTCCAGGGCCAGGAGTGCAGTGGCCTTTGGCCAGGCATGGACTCAGAGTCCACCTGGACTATGTGCGTCCTTGCCAAGTCACTCTTCTGAGCCGTGTGACACCAGTGATTCATTCCCTCTTTCCTTCCTTCTCCTCCGTACCGGCTACTCCTTTCCAGTCCTTTCCTTGGCCTTTTTCTTGTCTCCTCCTGTTGGTATTCCTTGGCCTCAATGTTCACACCCTCCAATACTCTTTTTAGACAATTTTGTTTGTTTCTTGCTTTATCTGTCATCTCTATGATGGCAGCTCCCAAATTCATCTTTCCAGTCTCCCCTTAATCTCTAACTCCAGACCCAAATCTTCAAATGTTCGAATCTCTATTGGCTAATTCCAGTGTATGTACCCTCAGGCACCCAAATTTAACGTTTCAAACTCAAGTGTGTTATGTCTATGCTTCCCACCAGCGTGTTAGTTCAGGTCTCCACGCTGCCTTGCCTGGACTATTACGGTGCCTTTGAAACTGGTTTTTATGCCGGGGAGTCCATCCACCCTCTACAAGCTCAAGAGTCCTAGTCTTTGGTGCTTCAGACCTGACCAGAGAGACCAGAGGCCAGACCTTCTACCTCTCCTTCCTTAGCAGCCTGGATTAGCTAGGTCTGGGGAGCCCACGGCATGTTGTGTAACTGCTGACTTGTTTGGCTTCCCCTTTACACTGTGAGTTCCTTTAGCACTGTGTTTGCCTTATCCTTAATCCTATCCCCTGGCCTGGCACATAACAGACACTCAGTAAATATTTCTGTAGTTAATAGCCTTGTAATGAATTGAAGCTCCTTTAGGACACAATTTATAGGTAGTAAAAAATTTCAGTGTTTAGAGTGTGACATTTCATATATGTGTGTGTTGGTTGGGGAGAAGCATTAGAAAGTAAGTTGGCAGCCCAGCCAGAGTGCCTCAGTGGTTGAGCATCGACCTATAAACTAGGAGGTCAGGGTTCGATTCCCAGTCAGGGGCACATTCTCGGGTTGTGGCCTCGATCCCCAACATGGGGCATGCTGGAGGCAGCTGATCAATGATTCTGTCTCATCATTGATGTTTCTATCTCTCTTTCCCTTTCCCTTCCTCTCTGAAATCAATTTTCAAAATATATTTTTTTAAAATAAAGTAAGTCAGCAGGTGGTTGGATATTGACTAATGACAAAATGAAAGCATGTTTTCCAAATATGTGAGTTGATATTAGAGGTGTTTTTAAGGTTGATGGAACATTCGGACACAGCACAGTGACTGTCTTCTATTTTCCCTAGACATCAGGTCAACGTGTAAGCTGAGTACACTCCACTAGAAGAGAAGCAAAGACAGCATCATCATGGCGTCAGTGTCTACCCATGGAAACCAAGATAAACCGCATTTGCCACCACTAAGCAAGCAGGTATGTTTTTAGTGTGCCATCTGAAGAGGAGCATCATACCAGACTTTCCTTAAACCGCATCCAGCCCGGCACTTTGTTGGATGAATTCAGGGAAAATGGAATGGGGAAGGAAAGTGTGTTGTTGACTGCCCTGAAAAGCATGTTTTAAACTTTTATTTCCCAAATCCTTTCTTTATTCTTCCCTGTTTAGCATCGAGCCTAACCAAACCTTACCTAGGCTGTCAGTGATTGAAGAGGTTTCCCTGCGCGGAGCAAAACTCTGCATTGACTCTAACAGAGTGATGTGTGGTGATGCTTGTTTTCACATTTTTCTTACCAAGGCCAACCTGACCAAATCTATGCCGCACACCGGAGTTGCCGTTCAGGAGAGCAGAGTCCTGAACCACTAAATTAGCCATCAGGTTGAGAACCCAACTTTTCAATTTGTTAAGAATGAATATGAGGTGTTTCGGGGATACATAAAGGAAGAAGAGAGAAAGTATTGTGATGGGTCAATGAAGTTCATGTTCTCTGGGGTCAACTTTTCAAGCTAAAAATATTTCCTGGAGGAAATGATGTTAAGGAGCAAAGTTTAGGAGAGGCAAGCAGACAAATGATATCAAGTCACAAGGAGAAGTATGTAGACACCTGAGTTGCCTTTGTGAAATGGAGAGCCATAAAACATTTATGGGTATAAAGAAAAGGCTCGCCAGGGCTCCTCTGGGAGGCTGTGCAGGAGTTCAATCTTGACGGCAGGACTCACAATTATTGTGAAGTCGGGTTCCTGACCCTGGATGTGTGTGTGTGTGTGTGCGTGTGTGTGTGTGTTTGGAGGAAAGGAGAAAGGGAGGTGTTCCTATTGCCGCCTCAGCCCAGGCAGAACCAAGAAGAGATACTTACACTGGGATAAGGAGGAGTGCTTGCTGAGGAACTAGAGTGAGTAGAGAGTGAGAACAGTTCCTTCCTGTCACTGTGACTTGCCCTGACCACCACCTCCGTGTACTGTGCTGTGCGGAGTTGCAGAGAAAGAGAGGTGTCCTGCTTCGGTTGCTTGTAAAGCTCTGAGGGCATAGGTGCCACAGGGTCCTTCAACCTCGTTATCAAGTATGTAAAGTGCTTAGCCCCTGGGAGAGAGCTCAAGAAATGGGGACCACTGCCCGGCTGGTGTGGTTCAGTGGCTAAGCATCGACCCATGCATCCAGGGGTCACCTGTTGGATTCCCAGTCAGGGCATATGCCCGGGTTGTGGGCCCGATCCCCAGTAGGGGGCATGCATGAGGCAGCTGATCGATGTTGATGTTTCTCTCTCATCGATGTTTCTACCTCTCTCCCTCTCCCTTCTTCTCTTTCTAAAATCAATAAAAATATATATTTCTAAAAAAAGAAATGTGATCATTATCCACATTGATATCTACTACAAACAAGAGTTCTGAAAAGAACATAAGCAAAATCAGCAAGGTCAACTTCAAATGCCAAGGAGCTGCACCTCAACAAGAAAAACAAGAAAACTCCCAGACGTAAATGGCAGAGGACCTACATAAATCATTCAGAGACAAGGAAATATTAGCTTGACTTTTTAGTAAGGAACAAATTAAATAAAATTAGCTTTAAAAAAATGAATGAACCACCCACAGAATGGGAAAAATATTTGCAAGTCACATATCTAATAAGAGTCTAGTACCCAGAATATTTAAAGAGCTTTTACAACTCAATAACGAAAAGACAAATGACCCAATTAAAAAAGTGGGCAAAGGACTTGAACAGGTATTTCTCCAAAGAGAATATATAAATGTACAACAAGCAAATGAAAAGATGTTTCATGTCGTTAGTCATTAAAGAAGTGCAACCCAAAACCACAATGAGATAACATTTTACACCCACTGGCATCGCTATAATTAAAAAGAAAAACAAAACAGAAAATAACAAGTGTGGACAAGAATAAGAAATTGGAACCTTCATAGTTTGTTGGTGGGATTGTAAAATGGTGCAGCTCCTGTAGAAAACAGTTTGGCAGTTCCTTAATTAGTTAAACATAGAATTTTACATATGACCCAATGGAATTAAAGACATGTTTAAACAAAAACTTGTACAGGAATCTGCGTAGCAGCTCTATTCACAATAGCCAAAAGGTGGAAACAACCCAAATATTCATCAATAGATGAACTGGTAAACAAAATGCGGAATATCCTTGCAATGGAATATTTAGTCATAAGAAGGAATAAAGTCCTAATCCATGCTACAACATGGATGAACCTTGAAAACATTATGCAAAGGAATAGAAGCCAGTCACAAAAGGTCATTTATTGTGCAATATCATTTACATAAAATATAAAGAATAAAAAAAATCCATGGAGACAGAAAACAGGTTAGTGCTTGCCAGGGTGCTAAAGGGAAGTGGGAATGAAGAGAGACTGCCTAAAGGGTCTGAGGTTTCTTTTTGGGGTGGTGAGAAAATTCTAGAACCAGTGATAACAGCCACACATCATTGCAGATGTACTTAATGATGCTGAATTGTGTACTTTAAAATGACTGAAATGGTAAATATTATGTTATGTGAATTTTACCACAACAAAAAATTAATGAGCCAATATATGACAAAAGATTACAACCTAGGGTCAGTTGTGGAGATTCATTATCTCAACGCTAGAGATGAAGGGGGCAGTCTGGCTAAACAATATGTAGAGATGTTCAAACACATTAGTTCTCAGGGAAATGCAAATAAGACAATTAATTCTTACTTTATACCTATTAGACTGTCAACATTTAGGAAACTGGATAATGTCAAGATTAGAAAATTCCCTCTTTACCTAACCTGTTTGGAATCCAGCTGACGTGCCCTTGAGCAGGCTCTGTGGGCCAAGAGGGGCAGTCAGGCACTGCTAGCGGGAGTGAGTGGCGCAGCCACTGCAGAGAGCAATGTGGCAAGACTTAGTGAAATTGGAAATATGCATGCCCTGTATTTTACACATATATGTGTGTGTGTGGGGGGGGATCTGAAAAATGTTATCACTTGGCTCTGTAAGAGACGTGTGGTGGTGGCAACATGGATGCATCCTGGGGAATTACACAACAGTTAGAAGCTGTGGACTAGATGGATATAGCAATAGGGGTGGATCTTAAAAGCATAGAGTTGAGTTGAAAATATTTTTAAAATTAAATCAAATACATAAAACAATACCATTTACATTAAAAAGATGCATGCATCCAAAACAATGAACACATACAAACAATGAACACATACAAACAATGAACACATACAAAAGATCCACATTAAACACACAGAATGGCCCAGCCAGTATGGCTCGGTGGTTGGTCATCTACCTGTGAACCAGAATTGTGGCTTCGATCCCCAGTGTGGGGTGTGCAGGAGGCAGCCAATCAATGATTCTCTCCCATCATTGATGTTTCTATCTCTCTCTCCCTCTCCCTTCCTCTCTGAAATCAATTAAAACACACACACAAACACACACATAGAATGGTGGTGATGGGCAGAGGGGAATAAGAGTAGAGACTATGGATAAGAGTGAATAATTCCTACATATCTACAAAGGAGGAAGATTGTGAAGGATGGGAGTTAGTCCAGGTTATAGCATGTCAACAGGATAAATACTGTAAAATAATAAAAGTCAAACATAGCAATAGTTCCACCAGAAATTTTATAACATAAAATATTTTAAAAAAAAAAAAAAAAAAGCAACACTGTCAAGATAGAAAGGAAACTATATAGAAAAATACAAAGCAGTCTGCTGATGAGTTCATAGTCTAAAATGCATACAGAAGTGTACGGTAAAGGTAAATTAGAATACAGCCGTAACCGGTTTGGCTCAGTGGATAGAGCATCGGCTTGCGGACTGAAGGGTCCCAGGTTCGATTCCAGTCAAGGGCATATACCGTGGTTGCGGGCACATCTCCAGTGTGGAGTGTGCAGGAGGCAGCTGGTCGATGTTTCTCTCTCATCGATGTTTCTAACTCTCTATCTCTCTCTCTTCCTCTCTGTGAAAAATCAATAAAATAATATATTTAAAAAAAAATACAGGTCTATAAATACAAAACTTGCCATCCAGTGCTCAGAGTTTGACCCCAGGAGTGTGACCCCAGGAGTGTGATCCCTGGAGTGTGGTCTCTGGAGTGTGATCCCACGAGTGTGATCCCAGGAGTGTGACCCCAGGAGTGTGAACCCAGGAGTGTGACCCCAGGAGTGTGGTCTCTGGAGCGTGATCCCAGGAGTGCGACCCCAGGAGTGTGACCCCAGGAGTGTGATCCCAGGAGTGTGGTCTCTGGAGCGTGATCCCAGGAGTGTGACCCCACGAGTGTGATCCCAGGAGTGTGACCCCACGAGTGTGACCCCAGGAGTGTGACCCCAGGAGTGTGAACCCAGGAGTGTGGTCTCTGGAGCGTGATCCCAGGAGTGTGACCCCACGAGTGTGATCCCAGGAGTGTGACCCCAGGAGTGTGATCCCAGGAGCATGATCCCAGGAGTGTGACCCCAGGAGTGTGACCCCTGGAGTGTGATCCCTGGAGTGTGATCCCAGGAGTGTGATCCCAGGAGTGTGATCCCAGGAGCGTGATCCCAGGAATGTAAATAGTGTGCTGTAGGGAATCTCTTCACCCAGGAGGCCACACTGAACTGGGTCTGCAGGAAACCAGGGAGGCAGAGGGAGCGGGTAGCATCGCAGGAAACGTAGACAGGGGCTGGAGGTAAGGAAGAAAATGCGGCAAATGTGGCTGCAGCAGGAATTCTTTCTGACCAGATAACTGCTCCATGTTCGCTAGTCGATGAGTCACTCTTGGCTTCTCCAGCTGGGATTGTTTCCTTGCCCGGTCTGTCCAACGTTCCCAGCTGGAAGGCACTCGCTGAAGCAGGTCACTGCTCTGTGCGGAGGCCAGCCCGGACGACACGCTGCATGACCACAGTGAAGGGAGAGCCCTGCCCTTCCCCAAGAAAACAGCAGATGCTTTTCTGATGATTTCAGTCGACTCACCGTAGAACTTTCCTTACAGAGCCTGTTGTTTTGTCCAAAATCCAAACTGCACATCCACAGAGCGGAAATTTCAAAGATTATCAGAGAATGTCAAGAAGAAAGTTTCTGGAAGAGAGGTAAATTGCATCCCTTTTAACCTTTGTTAGCACTGTATGTGCTGCAATGAACTGCCTAAGTATCATATTAGAATTATGGCAATGATTTACTCCTGAGCAGGGGCTTTGCATAATTCCTTGAAGAACTTTGATATCTGGGCTGTTTAGAGTTTAAACCCATGTTGAGACTCCTTTTTGAGGGCAGAGGTAATATTTGATTTACTAGTAGGAGCACACATAACGCTTTCATGTGACCCAGAACATGGACCTAGTGTGTTATTTAGAATTTCTTGAAAGAGTAAACCTTCCTAAATTCCACTAGACTCTAACCTCATTGAGTCAGGGAATAATGTCAAATTTATTGCTTCATCCCAGAGCCAAGCACAGTGCTTCATATATAGAAAGTACCTAATCAATATTTGTGGGATGAATGGAAAGTCGCAGGGTCCATTAATACTTCTCTCACAGTGTCTCTGAAATAACCTTTTCTGCTGAGTCATCTTCTTTCTCTGCCTGCCTGATATAAATAAGACAAGGGTGTGAATTCAGCTATGCTTTAAGGTCTCTTCCAATTAAAAAAGTAAAATCATGGGTGTGGGGGGAGGGTAAGAGATAAACCAAAGGACTTGTATGCATGCATGTAAGCATAACCAATGGACACAGACAGTAGAGGGATGAGGGCATGTGCCGGGGGGGTGGGTGGGGGGAGCCGCCGGGGAGAGCCCAATGGGGGGAAAAGGAGACATATGTAATACTTTAACCAGTAAAGAATTTAAAATTTAAAAAAGAAAAAGAAAAAAATCATGCTTTGTCATTTGAAAATGTCATAATAGAACCTGCAGATCTAGTCCCAATATTTGCAACATTGCCGACACAGGGATCATTTCACTGTGAAATACAGTTTGATTTCTCAAATCATTCCAACTCAGTAGCAATTGTTTTGGAATAAACACTCTTTAGAAGTTGTTATTCATCATGCATTACGATGATGATTGATTGTGCTCCTAGCAATTCATGTCTTTTCTGACAACCTATGAGTAAGTAATTTAATTAAGCCCAGTAGACTAACATTTCAGTATGACCCATTCGCCTACCATCAGATAGATACGAGTGGAAAAATTGGTTGCAATTTAATTTGTCTTGGTTGCTAGGAAGAGCTAGATGTTTATCACAGCTCGCTGCTTTTGGAAGAAGTCACTTGACACATTTTGACAAAACGAGAAACTGCCTTTGCCAGACTAACTTGCCTGTTTTGAAAATGACAGCAGAACGTCGCCCATGTTTAACATGAATGCAGTAATCTTGTAATCCTCAGAAAATAGACATACCCAAATGGTGCAACAAAATGTCATGAAAGACTAAAGCAGAGAAATATCCTGAATAGGATATTATGCAGGAGTTTTATTGTACTGGTATTTTCTAGTATGTAGGATTAGAAATTTCAAAATATGTAATTCAAGGCAGCTCCCAAATGCAACAGCTACATGTCCACACACAGACACGAACGTGCCTGCGTGGTATGTAGTGGCCAGAATCTGGTGCATGGTGGGCGTTCAGGAAAAGAGGATGTCAGAGACGGAGTCCCATGGGGTTTAGGTTTTGTTAGATTAAAGCTGTACAGCAGGTTCAGTGACTGGGGACAGATCCCGGGAACAGTCTTCAGGAAGTACTTAATAAATCCTTTATTTGTCGAATAAGTAAAGTAAATGACTAAAAAGTCATTGCCAAGGTAGGTAAGAGAAAACACTCCGAGTCATTCTCCCTGACTTCTAGGTGACGTGCCAAGTTCTAAAATTCCAGCACTGAAGGGCGTTTTTGTTTTGCAGCTCTGCCCTTTTCTCTTGGAAGCATGCTTGTTACCCAAGGACTAGTCCACCACGGTAAGAATCAACATTGGTTTAATAATTTAACTCCAGTTTTCTGTGAGCTTCCTGGCCGCTTTTTGGTGCGGGGCATGTATTTTGTGGTGAAGGACTTATTTATGCAGGCTTTTGCCTATTTTCAGCATGAACCCCTCCACCCACCCCTCCGGAAGATGTCCTAATCCCCAGAATGAGTGGCTATGTTAGGTTACCTGGCAAAGTGACATCAAACCTGCAGGTGGGAAGGCTGTTAATCAGCTGACCTTAAAATAGGGAGATTATTCTGGATTAACCAGAAGGGCCCAGCATAATCAGATGGATCCTTAAAAATTGGGTCAGGCCTGACTGGCATGGCCCGACCTATGAACCAGGAGATCAGGGTTCAATTCCTGGTCAGGACACATGCCTGGGTTGCAGGCTCGGCCCTCAGTGTGGGGTGTGCAGGAGACAGCCGATCAATGATTCTCTCTCATCATTGATGTTTTTATCTCTCTCTCCCTCTCCCTTCCTCTCTCTGAAATCAATAAAAATATATATTTTTAAAAAAAATTGGGTCAGAAGACAGAACCAGAGAGAGGGCAGCATGAAAAGGACTCACTCAACACTGCTGGCTTTGCTGATAGACGAGGGGCCAGGAGCCCAGAGTCCAGGAAAGGGGGTGCCTCTAGGAGCTGGCAAGGAATGCAGCCCTGCCAGAACCTTGATTGTAGCCGTCTACCCAGGCCTGAATGTTTGTGCCCCACCCCCAGTTGACATGTTAAAATCCTAATCTGCAAAGGGGATGGTATTAGGAGGTGAGGCCTTTAGGAGGCGATTAACCCATGAGAGTGGAGCCCTCGAGAATGGTAGTGCTCTTGCAAGAGACCTCACCGAGCTCCCTAGCTCCTCCCACCACAAGAAGTCTGCAAACCCAGAGAGGGGCCTCACCAGCCCTGAGGATCCCCTGATCTTGGACTTCAGCCTCCAGAACTGTGAGAAATCAATTGCTGTCCTTTATAAGCCCCCCCCACCCCCCCACGCCCCAATCTTGTTTTTGCAGCTCCAACAGACTGACACACCCAGTGAGATCCATTCTGAGCTCTGACCTCCAGAACTGTAAGCTTGCCGATGTGTGTTGTTTTAAGCCTCCAGGTTTGTGGAAAGTTGTTACAGCAGCCACAGGAAACGAATACAGTGCCTTTCTCTGTGCCAGAGTCCCTGCGTCTCCCAGGGGCTCAGTATATGTTAGACAAAGTGTTCCTGCGCAAGGATGCTCCGGGGAGGAAGTCAATGGGGCTGAAATCCACCAAGCTCTGTCCCTCAAGCCATTTGTCCTGGCGAAAGGCTGCATTTCCTGAGGAAGGGCGCCCTGTCTAATTTGTATAAGAGGCATGAGGACTAGCAGGCGCCCTGCACCTCCCCACACAACCTCTCCCCTCTTCTTGGTGTTCCAGTTTACCTCTTTCTTTGTCCTTCCTTGCTCCCTTCTTTTTTCCTGTCTCCATTTCACCAGAGAGCCCATAGTCATTGCCTAGTTCCCAAATAGCAAGAAGGCACCTGACCCTGTCGAAGCCCATTGCTTTGAACACTGCTGATGACCAGGATTTTAAAAAGAGTATTTGTACCCAGCAAACATGAGCAAAGACGTTCAAGTTCTTTTTTGGGTCTCAGAGACCACATGTGTCATTTATCTAGGAGAATCCCATTTCAGTTGATATTATTCTTCTCTTAAGGATTTAAGTTGATTTATTAAATATGATTTCATTGTTATAACTTGAAGATAGCCTTTTTATGGAAATATATTTATCAATCAGTAATGAGTCTTTGTCAGGCCATTTTTGACAACAAAGAAATAGTCATGCCATTATATCTTATAAATATTAAACTTCTCAAAATCTATCATCTCTGGCATGTGTGAAAACATACTTTTCCAGGGTTGTGCAGTAGTTTTCTACGACTACTATAACAAATTAACACAAACATAGTGACTTAAAACAGTGCAAATGTATTATCTCACAGTTTTGGAGGTTAGATGTCCAAAATGGGTCTCCCTGGTCTGAAATCAAAGTGCCCCCAGGGCTGCTCCCCTTGCTGGTGGCCCTGGGACTTCCTTTGCCCTTCCAGCTTCTAATGACCACCCACAGTTCTTCTTGGCTCATGGCCCCTTCCTCTGCCTACAAAGCCAAGGTCTTCTCCTCCTGCCATCTGTCTGGTTCTGCCTCAGAATCCCTCTTCTACATTCAAGGGTCATTGTAATTACATTGGGCCCACCTGTGCCGAGCCCGCATGGCCATGGGTGAACCTGAGAGGGGGTGGTAAAGGATTTAGAAAAGACAGACAAGGGAATAAAGCTGGGTCTAGGTGGGATGCTGCTCTCTGATGGAGAGACAGTGCCACGGCCTGCAAGCAGAGTCTTTATTTATTTACTTTTAAAAAATATATTTTATTGATTTTTTACAGAGAGGAAGGGAGAGGGATAGAGAGTTAGAAACATCGATGAGAAAGAAACATCCATCGGCTGCCTCCTGCACACCCCCTACTGGGGATGTGCCCACAACCAAGGTACATGCCCTTGACCGGAATCGAACCTGGAATCCTTCAGTCCACAGGCCGACTCTCTATCTACTGAGCCAAACCAGTTAGGGCCAGAGTCTTTATTTTATAATCAGATTCCACGAGGCAAAGTAAGGGTATGGTAAGAACATACTTGGGGATTTCGAATCTACTCAATTACATCTACCTGATCAAGCTTTGTTTACCTGCTTCACCTCCCGCAGCCTGTATCACTCAGCCACGTGGGACCACAGGTTCGGACCATAAGGTCAAGCTTACAACTATAGCCTTTGGCTGTAATTGCTCTGGGACTTGCACGTGGCTTGGCCACGAGAGGACCGTGCCCTCTCATTAGTCCCAGGCTTGAACCTGTCCAAACGCTGTAGCTGCTCTTCACACCCACCCAAATGATCCAGGATAATCTTCCTATTTTAAAGTCATCTGATTCACCCTAATCCCATTTTCTACCATAATTCGCCTTTGTTATGCAATGGTAACATATTCACATTTTCCAGGGATTGGGATATATATGGACACCTCTAGGGGGCCATTATTCTGCCTATCACAGTAGTAAAGTTTTTATTTAAAAAACTGTGGTAGGTATACAATCAGGTGTCAAATAACAACATTTCGGACAATGACAGACTACATGTACAATGGTGCTTCCATAAGATTACAATGGAGCAGAAAAATCCCTGTGGGCTAGTGATGTGAGAGCCATGGTAACGTCGAAGCACAAGGCATTTATCTCTCAGCTATCTGAGGTGATCCCAGTGTAAACACCCCTGCTGCACTGTCTGTCATATAAAAGTATAGCACCTGCAACTTGGACAGTATGCAATACTTGATAACGACAATAAACGAATGTAACTGGTTTATGTAATGACTATACTTTTTGTCATCATTTTAGAGTGTCCTCTTCCACTTATAAAAAAAACATTGGATGTAAAACAACATGCTGTGTTATGCCAGCAGCAGCCTCGTGCATCTTGTGTTTCCCGTGGCTCTTGATTGCATCGCTTTCTCTTGAGCTTGACTTAATCTCGTGGTGTTTTGCACAGTAACATGCTGTACAGGCTGGCAGCCTCGGAGCAATAGTTTATCCCATGCGGGCTAGGTGTGCAGGAGGCTGTACACCCAGGTTTGTGTGAGTGCAGTCTATGATGTTCGTACAACGATGAAATCGCCTAAGGATGCCTTTCTTATCATGTATCCCCGTTGATACGTGAGGCATGGCTGGTACTGGGAATCCTTAAGTTGAATTTCATAAGTTGAGGTACATAAAAAGGGGAGGCAGCAGTGACTAATTGTTGGCTCCACCTTTGCACTGATATCTTTAAACAGGTCTTGAATTGTCTGTTTCATGTTCTTTTTTTACACGTTAAAGCTAACACTTGCTACTTGGCAAAAATGGCTATTTGAGAGTTAAATTCAATCAGGAATTGAATTGTAACTCTTTTAGGGTCATCTCTTGTGATTAAGAATCAGCACCCCGGCTGGTTTGGCTCAGTGGCTAGAGCGTCAGCCTGCAGACTGAAGGGTCCTGGGTTCGATTCTGGTCAAGGGCACATGCCAGGGTTGTGGGCTCGACCCACAGTAGGGGGGAGTGCAGGGGACAGCTGATCAATGATTCTCTCTCATCATTAATGTTTCCATCTCTCTCTCCCTCTCCCTTCCTCTCTGAAATCAATAAAAATATATTTTTTAAAAAAGTAAAATATTAAAAAAAAAAAGTATCTAGCCCTGGTCAGGTGGCTCAGCTGTTGGAGCATCATCCCAAATGGTTGTGGATTTAATCCCTGGTCGGGGTGCACACGGGAGGCAACCAATCCATGTTTTTCTCTCTCTCTCTCCCTTCCTCTCTCTAAAATCAATAAAAAAACCATATCCTCAGGTGAGAGTTAAAGAAACTGCGTATATATTAAACTCTGAAGATTTCCTTATACTTTATAAGTTTAAATAAGTAATACAATGAAGTAATAATGTATATATTACTCCTTAGGTTATTTAGCAGCTAACCCACGATTTGGATCATTGCCTAAAGTTGCACGTAAGTCATAGAAGTAAAAGAAATTATTTTTAAATAGATGTTTATAGCAGCTGGAGTTATGAATGTCCAGGTTAACCAAATTGCCTGCATTGCCTTTCTGAAAAATCAGTCTTTATTTTTTGCCACTTCACAGTCCTTCGTTCATTCAACACTTCCTGGAATCAAGTTGCGCCATAGGAACCTCCCTTGGAGAGTCCTCTTTAAAGCAGGGACGAGGCCTCCTGGCAGGGTCCGCGAGAGCCTCAGAATGAGAGATCTATTCGGGGCTTAAGTTTCCTTCTTTGGGCCAATCTTTTCCGGATATTTTCTGTAGTGAACATAATAAGTGAATAATTTTTTAAAATCAGGGACTTTCTAATACACCAATGATAAACCCAGGATTTCCCTTTTTCCACTCATAATACATCGATCTACTTTGTACAAAAGGGATGCTTTCCCGTTTACAGTCTGACACTTCACTCCCAGCAAGAGGAGCAGGTTGAAGATTTCTTCCCTGAGAGGCTTTCTCTGCCTCGTGACCTCTTTCCCCTACAGGCAGGATGGACCGCAGCTCCCCACACTCCAAACCATACAGAGAATTTCCTACCCAGTGATTTGGAGAAACCATAACCCCCTCCCTCCCTCCCCTGGTGGCCTCAGACATTTATTTGCTGGCCTGGCCTCGCTCAGGCTGCCTGGCCCTGGCCCGGGGTCACACCTCTGCTTGCTCTGTCCTGGCCCTTCTACCACCAATTCAACACGGAGCCAGAAAGTCTAATCCTGCTCGTTAACAGGGAGCTTCATTCCCAGAGTGTTTGTCCATTGATTTGTTGTGGTGCTTTAAAAAAAAAAAAAGTGTTGTCTTTATTGTTGAAAGTATCGTGGTACTTTTAATATTAAAATTACTACTATTAATAAAGAAAGTTCTAGAAGATAACTAGTGGAAGAGATTCTGACGCTTTATTTAATCTACCTTTCCTAACCTGCTTTTACAGTGGCTGGTATCCTGGGATATGGCCTTGGAAAGGCATCATACATAGGAGTCTGCCAAAGTAAATTTCATTCCCTTGACGATCAGCTACGCGGGGCTGGCTTTGGTCCAGGACATAACAGGTTTGTCATCTGTTTGACTGAGGAATTGTAATGAAGATACAGTGGGGCCTTGACTTACGAGTGTCCCGACTAACAAGTTTTTTGAGATACAAGCAGTCTCTCAGCCGATTTTTTGCTTTGAGTTGCGAGCTAAAATTCGGGTTATGAGCCAGCTTCAGATACCCCACCGCTAGTTGGCGCAGCGAACGTCACAGTGAACGCCACAACATCAGCCCAGCATCATGTGTCTCACTCGTTCACTTTTTGATTTGACATACGAGTAATTTGAGTTACGAGCTCCGTCATGGAACGAATTAAACTCGTAAGTCAAAGCCCCACTGTAATTATAAAAAGGTAAATAAAAGATGATTCACCATTTATAATATTAAACAGTTTTTCTTTCTTTTTTTTTTTATATATTTTATTGATTTTTTTACAGAGAGGAAGGGAGAGGGATAGAGAGTCAGAAACATCGATGAGAGAGAAACATCGATCAGCTGCCTCCTGCACACCTCCCACTGGGGATGTGCCCGCAACTCAGGTACATGCCCTTGACCGGAATCGAACCTGGGACCCTTCAGTCCGCAGGCCGACGCTCTATCCACTGAGCCAAACCAGTTTCGGCTAAACAGTTTTTCTTAACATCTATATGCTGGGGTAAAAAACCTCCTTAAGCCTCAAATTTTGAGTTCTTGCTATTCGACTTCAATAATAATTACTTATTATTTGACTTGGTTTCCTATTTCATTTGCTTAACAAACATTTAGTGAGTATCTACTATGCCCAAGGCATGTGCAAGTCTGAAAAGAATACCTTAGTCAGCAGACATGGCTTCTATTATCACGGGGTTACACCGAATTTAAACAGGTTTCTTTATTGCAGGACTTTTCAGAGCCTTTACTGTGTTAATATACTGTATATAGCGTGATTCCATTAGGGGATATAAGCAGTAGGACTCTGGAATGAAAGGCATTGCCTCTACTGTTAGAACACCTGGGTCGAAAACCAGTGGTACCACTTATTAAATAAACCATGTAATCTTGGAAATGTTTCTTAAACTCTCTAATCTTCCGTTTTCTCAACTGTATAAAATGGTGAGCAGAATTGTTTTCATGGAATTGTTATAAGGAGGAGAAATGACTGTGACACTCCGTAAGTAATAGCGATTTCTACCACAGGACTAGTGTTGGGGACACATTCACTAAAGACCCTCACTGTCACAGTGGCTTCTATGTGAGAGGCGGCACGGTACTGGGGGGGAAAACCAAAAACACTGGGCATGGTCATTATTGGCCTTTATCTTGGGTGAAATTCTGGCAGTCTCAAGCCAAGCAGCAGCTCCTACTACTCCCTAAGACAGTGGTCGGCAAACTCATTGTCAACAGAGCCAAATATCAACAGCACAACGATTGAAATTTCTTTTGAGAGCCAATTTTTAAAACTTAAACTATATAGGTAGGTACATTGTTATTAACTTAATTAGGGTACTCCTAAGCTGGCCTTTGCTAAAAACGTCCTCAATCTGATTGAGGTCCGTTCGCTGAGGTCAACCCCTTCCAACTCTCCCATCCACACTCGTCTTGTAGCCAGTCTCACTCAACTCGTGCATGAATTATGCGCCCCTCCCCCCGCACTGAGTATCCTGCAGCCCACCTGCCCCGCATCTCCGGTCGCCCAACCGACCTAGCGACCGACACCCCCCACTTCTTCCAACGCCACTTCTTCAAAATAGACTCACCCAGTCCGAAAACCGACTTCTGCGCATGGGCCACGAAGTTTCAATCGCACTGTATGTGCAGCACCCGCACGTGGTATTTTGTGGAAGAGCCACACTCAAGGGGCCAAAGAGCCTCATGTGGCTCGCGAGCCGGGGTTGGCCGACCACTGCCCTAAGACATTGGGCCTGTGAGCGTCAGCCTAGGACAATGTCTCTCAGTCAGGTGTTAAGACTGGAGCTTCCGGTGTCAAATCACAAACCTCTCTTTTTGCTTCTGCCCTAGGCACTGCCTGCTTACCTGTGAGGAGTGCAAAATTAAGCACGGATTAAGTGAGGAGCGAAGTTCACAGCCATCAGCTTCCTAAACTCTACACCTGTGGCTTTTGAAGTTTCTTAAAGTTCTGAATTTGCACACACACTACAGTTTCAAGTGTACTTGAAAAAAGCGTACAGTGGAACAGAAACATTGTGATTCTCTCTTATCAAAATGCTTTTTGCGGAAGGTTCTCAATTGAATTGAGTGTATGTTTTTCTACTGTGTACGAACATGGTGGGAGAATTCACACACCGAAAAGAAATTGTGTTGTATTCTAACTTGTATACAGTGAAGTAAAAGAATGTCAAGTCCTCTCTAATTTTCCCCATCTATTCGTTCTTTCTGCCTTAGTTCTGGGTTTTAAAATCTCTTAAAGTGGGCAGGCGTGAAGGTTGAGGAGCTTGGGAAGTCATACCCCACCAAAAACCATTGTGTATGGAGGTAGAAACACAGGGCAAGAAAGATTGCTTCTTATAGGTATGCGGGGCACTGAGTGAGAAATGCGTCACTTCAGAGAGTCACAGTATGGGCCAATTGTCCTTTCGGTGACCTCAGTGACTTCATGCCTCATCACTATGGTGGAGTTTTGCTTAGCCATTGGGTACACGCTTATAGTCATTACTCAAGTACTGGGTTTAGTTTATATACTGCTAGTGGCCTCAAAAAATAAACACAACTTCCCAAATGGTCCCTTCTTCTCCCAGGCAACAGTTTATTATGGGAGGAATCATGGGAAGAATTAATGCATAGAATGATAAACTTTTAAGGCTATAGGCAGATCAGAAGCAGCCAATTCAACCCCATGAGTTGGATTCCTATTTATTGCCAGGTGTGTGTTTTTTGTTTTGTTGTGTGGCGTGTGTGTGTGTGTGTGTGTGTGTCTGTGTTTTGTTTTTTGTTTTTTTGCAAAACAACAACAACAAAAACCCTCTTCCATTGGTGACCTTTTGTTTTATGGCGGGTTGTCTGAGTCCTACTTTAAAAATGTCCCTTGCATTTTTTGCATTTTCTCAGAAAAATGCTTTCTTTTTTTAAAAATATATTTTATTCATTTTTTACAGAGAGGAAGGAAGAGAGGTAGAGTTAGAAACATCGATGAGAGAGAAACATTGATCAGCTGCCTTCTGCACACTCCCCACTGGGGATGTGCCTGCAACCAAGGTACATGCCCTTGACCAAATCGAACCTGGGACCTTTCAGTCCGCAGGCCGACGCTCTATCCACTGTGCCAAACCAGTCAGGGCAGAAAAATGCTTTCTATGTGTGTCACCATTTATACATTGGGCATGTGTGTGTACATAATTTGTGTTTTGTGTAAAACCTGCACCATAGAGGTAAAAAGAGGAACCTCATCAGCAGTTAATACTTGATATGAAATATTTTATTTAAAACATCAAAAATATTTGCAAGTTTCTATTTTCACATGAACACTAAGTGTATGAAATGGAGTGATGTTTGACTATCTCTTTGTGTATACATCTCCTCATGTCTCAGTCGATAAAGTTCTCCTTCTGTAAACCCGATCACAGAGCCAATATCCTAGCTTCTTGGATGCAGTTTAATTCTTGGCTCTGACTTAGCAATTGGTGACTCTTTGTTATCTCTGCTATTGGTAAAAGTTCAGATTTGGGCACATTTATTTCCTGCATTCCAGAAAATTATTTCCCAGGAATCAGAACATTTCCACATTGCTAAGGACAGCAAGCCAGTGCAGAAATCGGTCTCAGGGTATTGGGAAAGGTCAATCTATTATTGTTGAGAAGGCACACTGTTTTTCCTGCTGATAGCTTCACAGTTCTGCATCAAATTGGGTTTATTGTTTGGGCTCTCTGCTTTTCCAACATAAGTAAGTTATTCATGGAAGCAGTTTTTTTCACAGTGATCTCAGTGTGAAAGGAGATCTATAAAGAAAAAGAAAACCTAGACGGTCATCTAAAAACTCTCAGATATTTTGCTCCATTATCTATTGTATATATTAGGAAGCAAGTATCTGGGAAACAATGTCTGTTTCTTAAAGGAAGATGTGTTAATGGAGCAGCATTTGCCGTTTAGCATGTAGCAATTACCAACAACACTCACCACCACGCTGGTCATAAGCTTGTGAAAGTAGTACCTTCGTGGTGAAAAAAAAAAAAAGTTGTACTGTATATACTAGTAATGCTTATATATTTTTTAAATTCTCATTTAAGCAAAGATATTCTTTTTCCTTGCTGTCAGAATGGATGGTTTATCTCTGTTTTCTGTGAACATTACACAAGTAATAAAATTAATCTTGAATGGCGTGATTAAGCCATGAAAATGTGCTGTAGGTAATTTTCATGATATTCAAATAATGCAAATCTGTTCATTGACAGAACACGTTTCCACTTTGGAACTCTACACCCAAATTTCAACGGTAGAGTTTGATTCCATAGACAGAGTTGGCAGAGATGTCGGTGACTAACCCACCGGCTGCAAAGTCCAGGGCCAAATTAATAATGTAATTGAGTGAAGCTGGACTAGGTGCATGTTAAAACAGGCATAACCTTCACTTCCACACACACAAATAAGCCACCCGCTGTTGTCAAATCTTCCAGTTTGCAAAACAAATAAGTACAGGTTTTATGTGAAATATCCTGGTTTTTAAATCTTGAATCTTTCATCTATTCCATTGTTGCCTACTGTGTTCCAGGCACTGTCTTAGGTACGTCAGTGGGAATGTGACAGGGAGCACAACCAACAAAATTCCACACCTTCCTGGAACTTATATTTCAGCACCAGTCTGAGGTTTGAGACCTGACTCAACCCCCCACCCACTGAAAATCCCTTCTGCTGTCTGGGCAGGTGAAGTTCCAGGACCTACGTATGTACTTCCAGGGGAAGGACACCTGCTGCTCCATGTGCAACCCAGTACACTGCCCAGGTGCAAAACTACCCAGAAAGGTCTGTGGGAGCCCAGGCCTGCCTCCCTGACCCTCTAGACTAGCTCCTCCAAGACAGGAAGTGTATCCTTTTTTACTTATTTCTCAATTTCCACCCTCAAGCAGAGTTCTTGGCCAGACATAGGCACTTCATAAGTATTTCTCAGCCTAAACTTGTAATTTCCCTGTGGCTACCCAACAGAATTCTTCTTCTTTTGCATAACAGCCTTTAAATATTTGTGATGTCCTCACATACCAAGACTCCAGAAATGGGTTTACCAGATTTTTCTTTTAGGCACCTGAACGGATAGCAAGAGGCACTCTACATTAGGCCCTGGGCTCAAATTCAGCCCCACCATTACTGGCTACCTAACATTGAGTCAGTTATTTACCTACTCTGGGCCTCAGTTTCCTCATCTGTAAAATGGGAAGATTTTTGATTTACCTGTAGGTTATTCATGAGAATAAAATGAGTTTAATACTTACAAAATGCTTAGCACTGTGCATAGCTCAGAGCAGCCACTCAATGGATGTTAACAACTACTACTACTGCAGTCCAAAAAATGTTTCATTATGTTCCATTTTTGGCCCATGCTAGGCTTTTTCACATGACCTACCTTTAAGTCAATTCTCTCTATTTATGCTTATGCAGCAGGTCATTTTGAATTTCAGTGTAACTCACTATATATACATGTATCTCTTTTCAATTTCATGATCCTGATTTCAGACCCAACTATCTGTCCTTTTCAGTCCAAAATCTGTAATTTAACAGGTGAGTTATGTGTCGTCTGCATTGGAAAATATTCAGATTACCCCTTTGGATTCTTATAGTGTTCATGACTGTCTTGCAGAAGCAGAGTTTACTTTAAAATACAAACCTCAAATCATAGTTTGGTGCTGGGGTCTGACCCCAGCAGGTCCAGGGGTCCCCAAAGGTGTGGATGGAGTCGGCAAAGAAGGAATGACACGGAGACAGCGTTCAGTTGATCAGCAGCCTAGCCAGGATCTCTAGCTAGGATCTCCAGCCAAGTTCTGGTCTGGATCTCCAGCGAAGTTCTGGTTAGGATCTCCAGCCAGGTTCTGTGTCCATGTTCTCTTGCTAGGTTCTCCAGGTTCTCCAGCCAGGTTCAGTCACCAGGTTCTAGTCAGGTTCTCTTGCCAATTTCTGTAGTCAGGTTCAGTCCAGGATCTTTTGCCATGTTCTCTCCAGCGAAGTTCTTCTGTCTCTAGAGAACATTCTGTGTAGGTTCTGTGCCTCCTGGTTCTGTCTTCTTCTAAGTTCTGTGTTGTTACATCTGTATTTATACCAGTTGATTCCAATCCTATCAATCTCTATTCCAAAGGTTAGGGCGTTTCTTATCTCCATTCCAGGGAGTAAAGATTATGTAGCTTAAGCATGATTGTTCATAGTTAAAGTGATTAATTACCCGCCTGGCACTTAGTTAAGAGGTTTTATTACCTCCCTAACTTCAGGGAAAAATCCCTACCTGGGGAAACAACCTTTCTCAGACACCTTGGTTAAAACACATAGTGCCAAGAAGGTGAGCAAACATATTAAGAACAGTATGCCATATATGCCAGGTCCCTTGAAACAGCAAGCATGGACCGGCTCCCGGCAGTTTGGTTCATTAGATTATCTCATCTCTAAATGTGCGTAGGTCAAGGAGGAGGATGGGAATGGGAAGGTGACAAAAGAGGAGGGACCTGGGAGGTAGAAGTCAATAATGGTGGGAAAAGAAATAGCAAAAAGGAACCTCCCTGAATAAGGTTTTGAAAATCAGGGCTGTCATCACAAGCCTTATGGCTTCATTCATTATTTTTCAGAACCTATTTTATATGCAAGGCAAGGTGCCAAAAGAAATAGTATATTCATACACAAGATAGTCTCTGCCCTCAGAGTTAGGTAGAGATATATAGCTAAGTAGCTGTAGTGGAGTGTAGCAGTCCTGTGTGGGGTAGATGCAAACCCACTGCCATTAGAATTCAGGGGCAGTTGTGGCCCCTTTTGCTGTCCTTGCAGATTGTGTAACGGTCCAATTCTCTACCTCTCTCATATCCATGCCTTTTGTCATGGGCTCTGGCTTTCCTTTCCACGTGGGCTTTTGCATTTCACTTTTGACCTTGGGCTTGTCCTATGACTTGCTTTAGGCAAAATGTGAGGCAGAAATGAAGGTGTGCCTGTTTCAAACTTAGGCCTAAAGAGACCTCTGTGTTTCATTTGTGTCTCTATTATGAACATAAGAACATGCCCGGTACCAAGATGCAGAGGCAATAGCTTGCAGACTGACCCATCAGTTCCACAATTGCCTAAGATCTAATCTCTACAATAAACCCCTTATTCTGCATCATTCAGAGCAATTCTGCTTTTCCATCAAACTCTAACACAGGAACTGGATAGCTGGAAGTGGCCTGCAGGCAT